ACACAGGTTTCTTCTGATACATTTCTAGATAGCAGTTAATTTCATTCTCCCCAACATATTACTGCAAAGCCTGGATTTCAAACAGAAAACAACAAACTTTCATCTCTCAAATCCAGAGATAACCCCTCAGTAGAGTCATGGATTACTTAAGTTCCTAGAATATATTCCCCACAGATTTTTCCTCAAACAGGAAAACAACAGAAATCAACATCCCTCAGTGGACTCCTCCTCAGAAAATAGGAACAAGAATCCCCTTAAAGGGACCACTTATGACTATCAATCACCTACTTCTGATGGCATCTTTAAGCCCATCTCCGACGACTCTCAGTCATCTACTCCAAATGGAATCTGTAAGCCCATTCCCGATTAGCATCAACCAACAATGTTACTTCATGCGAGTGCAAATTTCTGGGCACTCTAGTGTTCAATCCTCTTCCACCTTCAGATCACGAAAGGCAGACAACCCAATCTAAATCCTCAAGTTTAAGAAGATTGAATAGGGGCAGCTGTTGTACCCCAAAATTTTCCCTCCCATTTTCACTCAAAACATGCTTCTATAGGTCCTCAATTGCTCAAGGTTGACCAAGAATTGATAAGAAAAACTCTCCTCCTAAGCAACGAACCTCTAATTAGGGTTTCACTTTTCATCAAGATGTGTAAGCTCCAAAGGTCACAAACGTTTTCCATGGTCCTAATATGCCTTCAAGATTGTCCATGACAAATTTCATGCATTCCACTACAAGTTTCCTCAGTCAATTGCACATATACACCTCTAGGATACACCCACTTTGGTTGCCTTTCGGAAAATAACAGTCGTGTCCCTCGAGAATAGGGACGCTTTAGCAAAGACCCTTTGAATCAAAAGATCATAAGTCCCTCGATGACCCTACAGTTTTGCCTTTCGATAAATGATCTAGTCCCTTAAGCAAAATTGCTAAAGCGTCTCTACATGTTGCCTTTATGACTGTATGTCCCTTAGAATGTCCCTCAAACATCCAACGATAGGGCTACCTACTCACTAATAGTAGGATATAACTGTCTAAAGGATAGGGGAAAAGAACAAACTTTTCGAGTATAAGTAGATAGTTCATAGATGCTTGCTCAAAAACAAAACTTTCACACTTACACAAAACATTTCAAAACACTTTCAAAAACATTCGCTTTGTTAACACTCTTGAGGACTGATACAAGAGTTATCATAAAACGAATTGCCCCACTAAGGCATTTTCAAAATGATTTTTCAAAACACACAAAGCACAAGAAATTTTCAAAACATGAGCTAAGCATCTAAGTGCCCGTAGAAAACTACGGATGGAAAGGGTGCTAACACCTTCCCTTTCCATAATCTACCCCCTTACTAAGAAAATTCTCGAAAAGGTCTTTTTCTGTTCTTTTCACCCTTTCCTTAATTTGGATAAAAGAAAAGTCGATGGAGAATCTTGCTTACCGCAACATTTTCAAACACAAACGCAAAACCAATATTAACCGTCAGTTTTGCCACCGTATCACAGTATGAATGAATGCATGGACTCTTTTTTGACATATATTTTTTGTACATGATATGATATAAATGCAAAGAATAAAGATATTATTTGGAGAAATGTGAAACAAAATATTTATGGTAGATTGAAACAAAGGACGTGGAAAGACACGCTAGGGAATACAAGGTATTCTGGATATTTGTCGGGGTGACAAGGAGTAACCAAAAATACTTGAGAAGGGGGGACAAACAATGAAAAGGCAAGCAGCGACATCCAAGAATGGCATTGAATGAGGCAAGCAACTCTCTGGAAAAAGAAATCATAACCATCTAGAAGAACATTAGATGCGGGATAAGACCAAATCTGAAGTTACATTAGAATCGTTCAGGAAGGATGATGGACGAAAAATAAACATGACATCCAATATTGACTTTGGATGAAGGGAGAACTTAACGCCTAATAATTGGCTTTAGATGAGAAAAAAGACCACAACATCCAATGATTTGCTTTGAATGAGGTGAGATAAATAACCATGAAATCCAATAATTAGCTTTGGTCAACAACAAAGATCACGACATCCAATATTGGATTTGGACAGCAACAAAGATCACGACATCCAATATTGGCTTTAGATGGAAGCAAAAGATCATGGCATCCAACATTGGCTTTGGATGGAAGCAACAAAGATCACGACATCCAATATTGGCTTTGGATGAAAGAAAAAGATCATGGAATCCAATATTGGCTTTGGAGAGCAACATAGATCGCGACATCCAATATTGGCTTTGGATGGAAGCAAAAGATTATGGAATCCAATATTGGCTTTGGATGGAAACACAGATCGCGACATCCAATATTGGCTTTGGATGGCAGCAAAGATCATGGCATCCAATATTGGATTTGGATGAAAGAAAAGATCATGGCGTCCAATATTGACTTTGGATGGCATGGAGAAACATGATATCCAAGATTAGCATTGGTTGAAAGTGAGAAGTAGCACACCCAATATTAGCATTGGACAAAAAAGGAAAACAACAATAAATCCAATATTAGCTTTGGAATAGAAACAACACGCCTAATATTAGCTTTGGACAGAAAAGAGAGACAACATATCCAAGATTAGAATTGGACGAAAGAGAGAAACAACTCATCCAAGATTAGCATTAAACGGACGAGAGAAACAGCTCATCCAAGATTAGCATTGGACGCAAGAGAGAAATAGCTCATCCAAGATTAGCATTGAACGAAAGAGAGAAAAAGCTCATCCAAGATTAGCATTGGACGAAAGAGAGAAACAATTCATCCAAGATTAGCATTGGACGAAAGAAAGAAACAACTGAACATACATCTTCTTTGGTAGGTGCCAAGTAAGTTGGACTTTGATCTGAAGGTGACATGTCAACTACAAGAAGACCTCAGGAAATGCAAATGAGGATGAAACACTCTTGTTATGCATTACATATGAATTTTTTTATGCATGATATGTGAATGATTTATGCATGTAATGCAGACTTTTATGACAATGGAGTTTGACTCTTTTGTGGAGGTAAGATTGGAAGTTTGATTCCTCAACACGAAGAACTCTTCCAAATTTTCTTGGAAACAAAATGTATTGAACCCATATTTGTCACACTGGTAAATTGTATTGAATTGATGATCTTCTGAGGAAGGACGTGGAGAGATGCTTGGGGATTTATCCCAGATTAGCTGATTGTTGAAGTTAAAGTAATCATGGATTTAGTTGAAAGTTGCTGGAAATAAGCTGATCATGGCTTCAGACCTGAAATGACTATTGGAGATAAACTGATCATGGCTTCGGCTCTGAAATGTTTATTGGAAATAAACTGATCATGGCTTCAGTTCTTGAAATGACTATTGGAAAGTAATGCCCCAGTATAAGTCTTGAAAATGATCTTCAGGCTAACCAATTCTGAGAAAACTCGCACTGAGCAACAAATCTTGAACTGATTCGCAATTGGACCTGAAAGATACTTGCCCCTGATAGGATCACTGACCAATTTTCTCAGCTGTTTGAACATCCTTGATGAGGAAAGCTTATTTTCAAGCAAAAATTGTTTATTCAAACATGTTAATTTTAATGCAAAAATTTCATACAAAAGTTTTGAATTCAAAATCATTTTTGAAATGATATTATTGGTGTATATAAAATTAATCATTGGTTAAAACACAGTGGTTTATACTTTTAAAGTGAAAGCAAAGGTATGATACCAAAACAAATGGTTCACAAAATATCTTAGGAGTCAGTTTATGCAACCTTGCTGTAGTATGTTTTCAAAAGAAACCTGACTTCAATTAGGTCTTTTGACGGTTGTAACATGGGGTTCATAGTTTAAGAAATAAAGGATAAATGCTCAAAGTTTATTTGTACCCAACCCAATCTTCGTGATGTCCTTCATTCCTACATTCATTTAATTCAGACTATGCATTCAGGTTCCAAGAGATTTTGGAATTGCACTGGAAGTAGTAATGACGATGGCTTAGAAGCTAAGGGATTTTCGAGAAAGCAATCACTTCATCCTATAATATTTTGTTGTTTAAGGACTTTTGTCGAATCTGGTGGAGAATTTTGAGGATTTGAAGACCTCTTCTGATTGAATTTATTATTCCCAACTTTTTCCTGAACTATTTCATTTGGGAATACAGTCAGCGGGATGCCCCAGTTTTTTGCCTAAGTCTCCTTCATAGGTTTTGACTTAGTGGTTTTTTTATTTTTCTTTTCATTTCATTTTTCTTTTTGGAAAGATAATGACTGTCTTGCTTAAAGGTTACGGGGAATCATCTTTGTCACTTTTGGTTTGAGCGCATCTTCAACACTTCTTTTATGTGTGCAAAGGAAAGCTTGGTCGTGGCCTTTATTGAAAGGTGCCTTGCACGATTTCTCTTGTAATTGAATGCACAACCAAATTAACTGAGAACTAGCCATCCCCAGGTTAAGATTGCGGGGTTTTTTGTATAGAAAGAAACTCCAACTTCTAGGCTTAAAGGGGTGAAAGAGAGATTAACTTCCTTATTTCTCCGGTGTTTGGGAGTTGAAACAATGCATGTACATCCTCAGCAAAGTTTTATTCGAAAGCATACCAACAACAATTATGGGTATTTCGTTTTCATCATTCACCCTCAAATCTTTGCATAAAAAAAGCTTGATAAAGAGAGTAAACAAGAGAAATATACTTGAAAGCAGTAAATGAAAATAATTTGAATCAAAACATTACAATGCTCATTTCATTAGAATTAACATGTAAGTATAAACAAAGTTTGAAAGTGTTGCACACCAAAATTTTCCCTCCTTATTTCTTTTATTCTGGCTTAGAATTTGCATTCATCTGCATCATTCCAATAGGTCATGTGCATAGCATGGATTTTCATAAAAAAGGGATAGAGTGTTGGAGGTTCAAAAAATCAGTAGTTATGGAACTAGGGTTCACAGCTGATTTGAGCCGTATACGTTGAATAAGACTGATCATTCTGTGGGAGACGGTGGAATTAGGGTTTTGGTTCATGATTCAGTTTGGACTTCTTCTCCATCAAGCAACAAAGCTATTCTCTTCGTCTGAATGTCAAGCTGCATGGTCTTTCTTGTCAAAGAATTCATGGATGTGACCTAGCATACGTATTCTTTGAACAAAGACGTATTCTCGTATGGGCGTGTTTATCATTTGATCAGGCTTAACAACATAAGTTCAGTTTGTTCATCTACTTCCCAGTTAACCAATTCAGGTTTGTCCGAAACAGAGTTTTATGATGCTTCATCTGGACGTTTTCTCTATCCATTTGAATTGAGGAATCAAAGTCGTGAGGTGTGGTTATCAGGATTTCTTTCTCTTCAGGATATAATTGTTTATCCGGTCTCAGCAAGTGATGGGGTTTTCATTTTGTGCGACTAAGGTTTCATGTCAAACGATTTCTTCCGTGTTTCAAACCTTATGGTCCATCCTTAAGATGTTCTTCAGGACATTTATTTTGAGTTAAGATAACTAGTCATTAAGGGTTGAGGGTTGAATTGTGAAGCGTGGTCTATGGCATAAGATATGAATTTGTGGACTTATTCTCGATCAAGGCGATTATCGTTCTTATCATTGTCATTTGTTGTCCATAATATGAGTGAATTTGAATAGAAGTAGGCTTTTATTGAAGGATTCATGTGAAGTGACTCAGGGTTTATTCATGATTCGATTTAGGATTTTTCAAGTACTCAACACAAGTTCAATTCATTCATCTTGTATCACGGTTCATTTTATATGATAAGTCAAGGAACTCTCAGAATTTAAGTACTAAGGGGAAAGTAAGACCCATTCAAAATCCATTCAAGTGGTTACGTTGGTTGAATCAATTTTCCTTGAGGCGCGAGTGTGTGGTTTGTTTGGAGTTCAAGTAATAGGCATAAGGATCATTCATCATCCAATATTCATCATTTAAAAGTCATTAGGATTCAAGTACCATTTTTAAGTTCTTATCATAAGAATGTTACATCAAGGAAAAAGTTAAAATACATAAGTAACATTCATCCAAGTTCATTATTATTGTTGTTATTCGTCGCATTACATTAAGAATCCACAAAGAAAACAATTACAAAAAGTCTTAAATTTAAGCTCTTAAAGTCCAATGCATAAGATTCTATGCTATGCTCCAAGACTTCTAAATCTTAGTCATGCTTGAGCCAATTCAGTTTCATCCATGACCTGCAATACATGCTTGAGGCCATGTTGTGCCAAGGTTCAAAACTCAAACAAATACTATGACAGGATGTAGCATATGTGAAGATGCTTATGCTGCGGCAAGGAAAGCTGGTCGTTACAAACAAATTAAGCATAGTAAAGGAGTCTCTAGTACGGATGCCGTAGGAGGAATGCAATTTGACAATCAATCCCAGCCCTGCATCAAATAGAAAAAAAATCAAGAGAGGAATATATCAGTTCAACCGCATTTGTTTAATAAGAAAAACAAATTTTTCATAATCTATTGACTGTTTCTAACAGAGTTCAAAAATCCTCTAACCTCTAACAACTCATAACAGATTTCCAAAATCAACCTTATAACAGTTTCTAGCTAGTTTCTGAATTTCGTAACAAACTAACAACATTTAACCATTTAACAAACTCAAACAAAATTTATAACTTCCCCAACTAACTTCTAACTTCCTAACTAAGCAACAACCAAAATAGAACCATGCTAACAAGTTTCAATCAATTCCCTTAACTGTCAAAAACATAATTTCGCTTCTAACAGAACTTCTCCAACCAACCCCTAACCGTTTTCATTACCAACTCACCCAATTGTTTTAACCATAACAGAAAACTAACTTTCTCATTTTTATAACAGAATTTTAAACCTTTAACCATATCCTAACAGTTTCTAACCTAACAACCTCTAAACAACCCTCTAAGCTCTCAAGTTGTAACCAACTTCATAACCGTTTTCGTTCACAACTTCCCCTATATAATAGAAATTCAGAGATTGCAGAGGGGGGGATTCATTAACAAAATTAAATCATAAAAAACTACAGATATAAAACAGAAAAAAGACTCACCATTTTCTAGGGCTGGAGAGAGAAATCATCACCAAAAAATCCTCAAAGCTCTCTCTACATTAATCCTCTCCCTTCCCTCATCTTCAAGGACTTTCAAAAAACCTCTCCTAATCCAACTGCTCAAATCAACTCACCTGTAACAAACTTTTGGGGGGGATATACATAACATATTTGGTTCACATGATGAGCAGGATTCATTATCCATAAAAAAAAAACACAAAAACTCACCTCTAACATTCTTTCATCTATCAACATTCTCAGGGCAATTTCGGCACTTTCTTTTTGAAGTTCTGGAAGTTTCATGCCATATCTCTCTGAAAATCGCGTAACCTATCATCATCTTCATTTCTCTGCTTCATCTCCTTTGATCTCCAACATCTCTGCGCTTCAATCGTCACCATCTTCTGCAAATTCATCATGCAACTATGTCAGCATCTTCAACATTACGAATCTTCAACAAACGTAGACACAACAATAACAACAGAAATTACAGAAGAGATGAAGACGAAACAGAAGAAGAAGAAGAAACACAAATAGAAGAAGGAATCTGAGAAAGAAGACAACCAAATCGATTGAAAATGATAGAGTAAAATGAGCATACCTGAACATCGAGTGTTCTCTAGTTTTCTCATCTTCTTCGATTGAAGAAGTTGTCGGAGCGTCTCCGGTAGGTAAGCGATGAATTAATTACTGTTTTGTGCACCTTATTTTGCTTTCTACTCCAAATCATGGCATAGAGTGTAGTTTTCTACGGATCAATCAAAACCTTCACGAATCATCATCATCATATTCTCTGTTTGAATTGTGAATCATGGCCGCGAGCGAAGAACAATCAAAACAGAGTTAGTCAAAGAGGTGGGGATGAAATAATGGGGATCGACGGAGAGAGCCCGAAGGGGGCTGAGATGAAGCGGATCATGGTGATATCTGGTGATTACGATGGCGCCACAAGAGGAGAACGACGGTGCCTTGAGGATCTCGTCGGAGATGATGAATTGGAACGAAGGGATTTTGAGACGACGATGAAGTTTGAGCGTCGCTAATCTTGATGAGGGAGAGGCCGCGAGAATTAGACGGTGGTGTGCGCCGCAGACAAAGAGGAGAAGAGAGACTCTAGTTTCAGAAGAAGTTGAACAGCCATACGTTCTCAACCCTAATCCCTCTTTCTATTTATTCTTTTCTTTTAATTTTTTTTTGTTTTAATTCAATAGATGATATATTGATAGTAATGAAAAACTGAATAAATGATTTAAGGGTGGGCTGGTGTTATTGAAAAACAAGCGGACAAAAAAACTCTATTATTGGACCAAATTTTCTTGGGCCTTGCATCATAGTTTCTTCAACGCAGTTCCTGGTTACAGTCTTGTACCATACCCCTGAGCCTGGTTTAGCACCCCTACTGTTTTAGTATTTTTGTTGATATATTTTACGTAGTTTTGTTAATAAATTTTGGCTTAATCGAATTTTTTTTGTGAATACTTTCTTTAATACTTGTCCAAGAAAAATTGATAAAAAGTAGTAGAATGTTTTTATAATTATTTAGGATTTCCTTTAAGAATTTTAATTAGGGTTTTCTAGTATTTTTTATTTTATGTTTGGTAATCATTTTGTTGTCATTTTTGGCCAAGATTTTTTGCGATAGTATTGATGTAACTTTTGTGACGGGGAATGCTTGGAGATTAATTATTTGATCACTCGCGCGGAGCAGTTTCTGTAGAGTTCTCTTGTCGCTTGCGTGTCTTTAAAGAGGCAATGGACCTTCTCCGTTCGGTACCATAGTGACTTTATTTCATTCCTCATTCACGCACTTCATTGCTTTCTAGAAATCATGAGAAGTAGGGCTTTACTACAATTCATGCACGCAAACATTAGGTAGAATTCCTTTGAAATTATAACTTTAGGTCTAACAACGCTTGATAAAATTAGGTTTAGAAATAGGCTAGTCTCCCTTTAACTTTTATTTCCATTTTCTGCATATGCATTTAAAACTAAAACTTCTTTTCTTTCAAACTTCAAAAATACTTAAAAAGTACTGACGAGAATCGTGCCTTTGTTGAACATGGGAGATGATAAACGGGTCTCTTCTCGATCTTATCGTTTTTCCATTCTAAGCCTTGGCATGGTTCAAGTCTCAAAGACTTATTTCACGAATGAGTAGAAATATGGCTAATATCTCTCTCTTGAGATCAACTAGCTGTTATCCACAAGCAAAAATATCAACAAACACAAAACTCTTTTTGCCTTCGGGCCTTTCTTTAAAAACCTTTTCAGAAAGAATATGTTAATTCACTTCTGTGCTGACGCGTAAATCTCCAAAGGTCGAGTTGCGGCAGAAGGCGAAATTAATATCGTCCATCAAAAAACACGAACCAATTCAAACTTTTTTGTGCGCCCAAGCACCTTTTCTCCAAAACTTTTTCAAAAGAGCATGTTAATTCACTTCTGTGCTGACGTGTAAGTCTCCAAAGTTCGAGTTGCGGCAGAAGGAGAAATTTATGTTGTTTATTAAAAAAATACAAACCAACAAAAACATATAAGCCAAACTATGGCTGCTCTGATTCCTTAAAAGGGATACGTAGGCATTGGGGTGGGGCCCAAGCAAGCACAACTTTTATTTTCCCTAGATTCTTTTCTCATTTCTTTTGCATGCATTCTCCCTTCAGCAGTAGTAAACAATAAGCATATATTAAACATACCCATAAGATAGATAACAAGAGTGGATACCGTAGAGTACTACAGGCGTGTGGGGTGCTAATACCTTCCCCTCGCGTAACAGACTCCCTTACCCGATCTCTCGATCACAAGACCGTGACTTCTCCCTTTTCAGGTTTTCTCGATGTTTACCTTTCCCTTCCTGTGGGATAAAAGACGTTCGATGGCGACTTCATTGTTTGATGATTTTCAGCCGGTTGTTTCAGAAAGCAATAATTTTAACATAAACAAGGGTAAAATGAAAACAAAAAGAAAGATGGCCTAGTGACTAATCAGTAACAAGGATGAGTTGTCCTGTCTGAAACACTGGCTTTAGGAAGTGACTTGAGGGTAGCCCGACTCAATCTTCAGCCACTTTGTTTTGGCAAAGGATTGTCGATAACATTAGGACCTGCCTCTTTGAAAGTGAGAATATTTTCCTTAACAAATTCTTTCACTTTGTGTTTCAATGCATAACATCTTTCTAAATCATGACCGGTAGCTCCCTGATGAAACTCACAGTGAAGGTTAGATCTGAACCCGGGTGAAGGAGGATTTCGAGGAATCAGAAGCCTAGTTGTAATCAAGACCTTTTGCACCATTTCAGGATACAATTCAGTGTATGTCATAGGGATGGGATCAAATTGACCCCTATTCCCTACATTACGATTCTGATTCTGCACAATATTCTATCGTTGGGGAACCTGAATTGGTTAAGCATTGACCGCAGGAGCAACAACCACTACTTATGGTTGAACAATGTATTGAGGCCTACAGTGAGGTCCTCTTCTCTCAGTCGAGACAACATTGACTTCTACCTCTTTCTTCTTCTAAAAGTTCCCAAATAATTTCTTTGCACCAAAGATTCAGCAGCTTTAGACACTTTACCATTATTTATTCCTTCTTCTAATCTTTGGCCAATAGTCACTAGGTATGTGAAGCTGGAGGACACACTACCAATTATCTTCTCCAAAAAGAAAGAGGACAAAGTATCCATGAACAATCCAGTTAGCTCTTTCTCTTCCAGAGGTGGTTTAACTTGAGATGCCAATTCTCTCCATCGTTGAGCATATTCCTTGAAATATTCTTTCTCATTCTGAGGCATATTTTGCAGTTGGCGATGATTAGGTGCCATGTCAAGGTTGTATTTGTATTGCTTTATGAAAGAATCAACAAGATCTTGGAAGCATTGGATACATCCTTTCTCAAGTCCCATATACCATTTCAATGAAGCTCTACTCAGACTATCTTGGAAACAATGGATAAACAACTTGTCATTCTTTGTGTCAGCAGACATCTTTCGAAAGTACATCACTAAGTTGCTTCTTGGACAAGTATTACCCTTGTACTTTTCAAACTCGGGAGTCTTGAACTTAGCAGGCATAACCAGATCAGAAATTAGGCACATATTTTCAGTAGCAATACCAAAGACATCATTACCTTCCATAGCTTGGAGTTTGTTTTCTAAAGTCTGATATTGTTCTTTAAACTCTTCAAACTCACCAAAGTCTCCCTGACTCACACTTTGAGTACTGGAGACATGGTAATCAAAGTGAGGGTTCCCAAAAGCATCTTGTGCAGCAGGTTCACGAGAAGCAGTATGAACAATTGGCAGAGGTTCGGTGAAAACTGGAGCTTGAAAGACTGGTCGGGAAGACTGACTAACC